ATACACAAAAGGTATACAAAACCCTTTATTTTTCTTTTACAATGACTTCCGTACTCGGAATACACCGACCCGCTACTTGGGGTCAAAACGTAAAAGTATAAAAATAGAACTAAACTCTAATTTAACTTTAAATAATAAACGTGGAAGATTGGCCTTATAATAACAGGAAGCGTATGTAGTACAGAGACTGTGACACTACAATACGTTTAAATTTATCAAGAGGATTAAAACCTCTGGCCTGGAAGCCAACAGCAACTGCGTACTTCCAAGGTAGCGGCGCCTGCTTCGACTCACTGCTTCCTCTCTCTCGCTTGCAAAAAAAGCCACAACTTAAATACTTGGCGTTCGCCAGACAAACTTTGCATAAAAACCTTAACGCTTATAATTCTGGCCGGAAGTAGAAAATAAGAAGTAAAGATTTTAAATAAAATAAACGTTAGTAAAACTTAAGATCCTTACATACTTCCCGCCAGAGTTAATTAGTTTGAAACTGAGGTCTAAAACGACCTTGTTGAAAAATTTAGCTCTAGAATCTAACGCGAGGCCAAATCTTTTACAAACATACTTCGCTAGAACTAGAAATTTAAAAGAAAGAAATTTGTTTTTACAATAGAAGCTCCCAGGATACACAATTTTTTTCCTCTGTACTGCATCTAAACAGGAGCTTTTATTCAATTCTGGTTCCTTCCAGAGATCTGGAAGGAAAACTAGTTTAATGAAATGTTACACAATGAAATGGCAAGTAACATGTATAATTATATTTCTCTTAACATTCTTATTTCATTCATGACTATTTTAATTATCTCTCCCCGTGCTCTCTGACATGTGTTGTAAAAGAACACCAAACACGAATGTGTTTCTGTCTACGTGTGCCGCACTTCCTCCTACAATCAAAACACTAACGTGTTAAAATTCAACATAACGAGACCTCTTAACACACCCTACTTTTCAACTCTAAACCCTGAGGCTAAAGTGGCTAACTCTAAAGTGTAGCGTCAGAGAGCCTAACTACATCATTCAACCTTTACCACATATTCGCCATGATTTAATCTTTACAGTCACACGATATTTTCCTTTCCGGGGGTATGCTTGATTACCAGATTATATTCTTGCAGCTTGAGTGCCCATCTTATTAACCTTGGGGATAAATTTTTCCCTGAGTACAATCTAGTTACCGCCACATGATCAGAGTACACTGTTATCGGCGCCTTTCCAAATTAGACTCGGAACTTTTGCACTGCTAACAGAACTGCAAGTGCCTCTCTCTCGGTCGCGGAATAGTTTCTTTGTGTTTGATTTAAAGTTCGGCTAAAAAATGCCACGGGCTGCTGATTTGCGAAAGTACCGCTCCTACCGCATAATCCGAAGCATCCGCTTAAAATTTCTAAATTCTCATCCTTTTCAGGAAATTTCAACACAGGGGCTTGCGTTAATGCTTGTTTTAATTTTTCGAAAGCACTATTGGCTTCGGCCGTCCACGAGAATCTTGCCTTTTTCCTTTTTAATTTTAACAATGGCTCAGCGATAGCCGCAAAATCTTTTATAAAGGACCTATAATATGAACAAAGTCCTAGAAAAGAAGAGAGCTTCTTTGCCGTGTTTGGAGTACAGCGATTATTTTTGATTCGTCTGTCTCTATTCCTTTCTGAGATATCTTGTAACCTAAATATTTTAATTCAGGGGCTGCAAATTTGCACTTTTCGACATTAACTTTTAGACCGGCCTCATTTAATAAAGAAAACACCTGTCTTAAATCCTGTACATGTTGGTCGAGATTATCACTAGTAATAATGATATCGTCGAAATAGATAAATGTGGACTTTCCAAGAACAGGTCTTAACACAATGTCCATGCATCGCTGAAATGTTGCCGGGGCCCCTGAAAGGCCAAACGGCATACGCAAAAATTCATAAGTGCCAGACTTGGTTATAAAAGCAGTCTTAGGCACGTCCTCAGGCCTAAGCCCTATTTGAAAAATAACCAGTCGTTAAGTCTAAAGTCGTCATAAATTTGGTTGATTTTATGTTCCTTAGAATTTCTTCAATGATCGGTAACGGATATACCAGATATTTGTTATGAGTTTAATTTACGGTAATCAATAGCGAATCTCCACCTTTTTGGATGCGTCAAAGGATAGTCATTATTTTTCTTACATAAAACCACCGGGCTAGCATAATTACTTGAAATGGGCGTTATGAGCTTTTTACGTAGCATATCGGTAATATGCCATTCTATAATTTTTTCCTTATTCTTATCATACCGGTATGGTTTTGACGAACTGGCATTGAATCTCCGGTGTCAATACTATGGTTAGTAACCTGAGTAAATCCTGGAATATCACTAAATAACGAAGCAAATTCACTTACCACTTGTTGGATTCTTCCTTGCTCGTCATTAGGGAGGTGGTCAAGTTTTAACATCGGCGGTTCAGCCTTTTCTGCAAGAACTAGTTTCATTGTCAGCTTAAGGGACGCTTCATTAAAATCCAGTGTTGCTTGTGCGTCTGAAAGAAAATCTATTCCTAAGATTAAATGTGCTTGCAGATTCTTTACTATAAAAAACATCACCTTTACTTGTTCGTCCTTGATACGGATATACAAAGGTACTTTACCTATGCACTTACATTTTTCTCCTTGTGCAGCTAACACTGTCGTATTATCCGAATTATATATGCGATATTTACGAAAATACTTCCTAAAAAAATCTTCTGCCACACAGGAACACTGCGCGCCTGTATCCAGGAGTGCGGTGGCTGGGATATTATTCACCAAGACTTCGATCTTCGGAAGAGTCAAATTTTTCACCATTACTGTATTAACTGTAGGAAGAGGGGTTTTCTGGCCTTCGGATTTCCGCACCCTCCCGTCAGCAGAAATCCGTTTTAGTTTAAATTATTTTTCATTTCGTGCTTTCCTTCTTTTCCCCTGGCCTTGAGACTTTTTCCTGGGTTGCTATTGAACTGTCGACGTTCGCCGGCTGTTTTTGAATGCTCGGGTTTCCTTGCCCACTGATTCGCTTTTTCTCCTCCGTGTGTGCTTGAGTTTGCTGTAGTTTGGCGTACCAAATTGGTTTCGCTGTTGATATGGCGTCTTCTTTCGACGTCCGCCGTTCTTCTACTTTCAAACTGGATTGCTAGCTCAATAATTTTTCCAGTGGTATCGGATTCTAATTCAATAAAGTCTTGCACTTGGGGCAGTAACATCGGCAAAATCACTTGAATTATTTCAGGATCCGGACGGTTTCCATACAAGAGTTTGAAGAGTGAAGTTTTCTTAAAATAAAGCTTGAGAGTTTTTCGATTCTTTGTTGAATACTAAAAAGTTCCGTTTCTAATTTCGTACGATCCCTTACAACAGGGAAGGCTTTTTAGTAGGGCAGTCTTGAAATTCTCGTAAGTATAGGGTGGACTTCCTGCTTGACCCAAGAGACTTCTGCCTATACATTTGAACCAGTTAAGCGCTTGGGCCTCAAAGCGCTGGTAGCTAAGGTAACGTTTTGAAACTTGTGCACGGGGTAGAGCATGAAGTGGTCATCCAATTTTTCCAAAAAACTGGTTACCGTGAGTTTCCATTAAATGTTGCTTCTGGTTTATCGAAGCGCGCATGGTCTGGACGATGTAACCAAATCCTTCCAGGGCGGCAGCTGGCATTTCTGGATTCTGAGCCGTTTTCTGCAGGCAGCACAGGTTCTTCTTGAAACTCGGCCATGGTTATTCTTCTTCGTTTGGGCGCCACTATCAGGGTCAATGTTCCTTCTAACCTTCTTCGGAACATGCAAGGACCTGACTCGGAACAGAGAGCTTACTAAAGCTATGTTCAAAACTGTGGGAAGTAAACGGGATACACACGAAGGGTATACAAAACCCTTTATTTTTCTCTATTTACAACGACTTCCGTACTTCGGAATACACCGACCGCACTTGGGGTCAAAACTAAAAGTATAAAAATAAACTAAACTCTAATTTAACTTTAGAATAATAAACGTGGAAGATTGGCCTTATAATACAGAAGCGTATGTAGTACAGAGAACTGTGAACACTACAATACGTTTAATTTATCAGAGGATTAAAACCTCTGGCCTGGAAGCCAAAGCAACGCGTAACTTCTAAGGTAAGCGGCCTGCTTCGACTCACTGCTTCCTCTCTCTCGCTTGGCAAAAAGCCACAACTTAAATACTTGGCGTTCGCCAGACAAACTTTGCATAAAAACCTTAACGCTTATAATTCTGGCCGGAAGTAGAAAATAAGAAGTGATATTAAAGATTTAAAATAAAATAAACGTTAGTAAAACTTAAGATCCTTACAGTACAAAATACAGTTTTAATCAGTGTTAATGCAGTAAATTGCATTTAGAAATAAAATGTCACGAAGCGTCAAGTACTACGTACGAATAGGTATTTTCTTGTTTCTTATGCCTCAAACCTAAATTCATGCAAAAATATTTAAACATTCCAGATAGGCAAGTCATCAAACATTATTCATTAAGTGAACTTTTCTGCATTTTGGATGAAGTACCCATATTATAGTCATAAAATTAATAAAAATATATATTCCTCACCCTACTATGAAAGCAGTAGTTTCAAAAGTAGAAAGAGGAAGATGTAAAATATACTGTAAAATACCTTACAATTTAGTCATAAGAATTGTAATGAGATTAATGAATATGATTGTAAACTTAACGTACACGAATTCAAATAATGCGTTTTAATCTAAATAAATTCGAATTTTGTGGTATTAAGATTCTTTATTAATACTGAAGAGGCTGAGGATTTTTAGTTTTCTTATTTTCGATGCACTGAAAAAATTCCAACTCTGTCAGATACCTTCTCCTATGGTGCAGCGTAAAATATTTGAATAAAATGGAAAAACGTAATTTTTTTTTTTATCGGAGTAAGTGAAACTTTAATCTCTGTCTCAAAATTTTCGATTCGAGTTACACAATTTCTCTCTTCTAACATTTACTTTACTATGATTCTTATAGCATTTTTCCTTTTCTTCTTAGGTCTTTCAAGATTTCGTGTTCCTGGATTTCTTCCTTCGATTATTTTGCGACAAATACCGGCTAAGATTGGCAAGATAGAAACAACTGACCCAGAGGTGAAGCCAATAAAATCCGAAGATGGTGTTCCCCAGACCGAAGATCCAGTATACACTGTATGATGGATGTATTTTGTGGAAATTATGTTTGCTTTTTACCCCATTCCAGGATTTGTATACAATGAGCTATTTGTATTCTTTGTATCCCCCAAGTGTTCGTGTTTTGTATACGATATTTGACTTGTTCGCACTGCATCTCAGTGTCAGCACAACTGTTTTGTGTGTATCAGTATATGCATCTATGTTGGTCTACATACATATATACATATATAGATAGTATAAAGAAGACGAAAAAGCTCTCTTAGCATTTTTGAAGCTTCGGTTTAGATAAATATGAATTTATATCCATGTTATTCTATATTCGATACTTGTGTGTAAAATGTGATAAAAACAATGCACTCTTCCTGTTTAGAATTTCATAGTAACTTGTTCGTGTAGTAGTATTAAGTAGAAAATTTGAAAGGCTTTGCCTTGAACACGAAATACCTCAGATTGTTATGCTAGTCTTATCAAGGTATACTGACGTGTACTACTGGTTACCTTATAGGTAATCAGATTATATTCATTACAAATGAAGGAATGGAATATATCGGGTTACACTGAGAACTCAAGCAATGGTGTTTGGTAAGAATTACCTTGAGAGTTATTAAACGCATTAAGGGAATAGAGCATTCGTATTTATTTCAAGCGATTTCATTGAATTACAACCATTTATTTCCTGTATTTAATCATTGCACTTCACTTCTCTTATTTATTCTCATAATCATGTAGTATTACAGTTGTTCACATTGCTTTCAAATGCTGTGAACGTTTTATGAAAATATCTCCACAATATGTGATTATGAAATTTTGATGAAGGATGTTTAAAGTGAACCTCTAATGTCAGCTATTTTAGTTAATAGGCAACGTTATTATTTGTTTACCTGCATTCATTGACCATGTCAAAGACAGAGTAATAAAACGGTACTGTTTAGAATATAAATGGAACCCCCAGAATCAATTTTCTAAATTACTGGTATGTGAATGAACGCAGCCAGTTATTGAGAAAGGAGATGCATCGGGTAATTAGAATTCCTATGAAAAGCTCGATATTGAAATACAACATACGCTTACCAAAGTGAAGTAGCAAAACAGCCATTAGTGAGAAGAATCTATAATACATTTGGAGCCTCTGATTCTATTTCACAATGTCAGAACTGTTAAGTTAATTGTTCTAAAGCTGCAGCTGGATATAATACTGCATAAAATTTAGAACTTTTATAATGCATCCATTCAATTATTTATTTTTTCCTTCTACTATGAAAGAATATAAGAATATTTTCTAGTGCATTTACACATGCATGAAAAATTGTCTAGTTAAAACAAAGTTTTGTTTAACACAAATTAAAATTTATGAGATAAATTACTGATTTGAATTATTCACTTATCAAAAGTGCTCTAATTTTTTTTCACAGAGTTTATCGAAGTTTAAAAACATTTTTAGGTTTGTATACAGTTTTAAAACAAAATTATCATTAATATGGGATAATCATATGAAAGGATAAGCTTACCAAATCTGTGTAATTTAAGCTATATTAAAAGGAAGCTTTTGAATTTTGCTATTAAGCCGATATATCTAAAGCTACTAAACTTTTATGACCTAAAACAATAATAATCAACATGTCCAATTATTGTAAACTTACATCATTTGAATGAATTTCTCTTTCTTGAATTCGCATACAGGTAATATTCATGGTTAATTTTTACTATAAGTAATATTCATTATTTCTTTCTCATTGATGTGATTTCTTGCACTGCTTATTTACGAATAAAAGCCTTCACTAAAAGGGAAGAATATAATTTATTTAGATTTCTAAATTCTATCGGGACTAGCGACACATTGTACGCTGAAGTTATTAGTTCATTTCTATCTACAATTAAAAATGTTAATGGTATTTATAGTTTAAAGGTATTATACGACGTTTTGTGAATTCTAAAATTGTTAATTAATTGAACTTGCATAAGCTTCTGAACAGTATTTAGATTAAAAGACAAAATATTTGTTGAACAGATCGATAAATTATGTGTCAAAGAAGTATTTCTTCGATTCTGCCTTTCTCTAAGCTCTTTAATCATCATACATTGATATCTTTTCTTTAAGAAGGATTAACTAGCAAGTAATGATGATACATTTGCAAATAAACCACATTTAATGAATTCCTAATACATCAACATATATATACCACTGATAATGAAGGTGAATTTATCTTATCGTTTAGAAAATTAAGCAGTTTGTATGCTATGCAAGCTTGACAATTTTTCTGGAAATTTTACGTTTCCTTACAAACGTCATTAATGAATCATTAGAGGTAGTTTGATTTTCAAGCAAATCATCCTTAACGAATTCCTATTAAATTAATGTACATATCACTCATAAAGATGAATAGTTTAGGTTAGAATTTAGAATTACGTGTATTATGTATGCGTTATTGCATTTTTATTTCATGTATAATATCCTTTATCAGTGAGAGTAAGTATGGTATAAAGAGTTAAATTTACTCAAAGTACACGAAAAGAGATTCTGGTACAAGGGCAGTCAAAAAGCTAAAATAATTTTAGTATAAAAATTGAAAAGATTGAACCTGTGCGAGTAACTTTTGGCATAAGGCAAGTTTTTCAAATAAAATATAATTTTTTAAATAAAAGTGATATATTATAAGAGTATTATTTTTAAATTATGAAAATGTTAGTTTAGGCTTAGCAGATTTATTTTAGTAGGATTAGACATGTAATTCGATTATTAAAGCTAGGGTAGTTTTTAAAACTTTTAATTAATTAGATGAAAATTTGAAGATTTCGTGCACCTTTTTTGCATGAAGTATGTTGAAGAGTTAAAATTCGAATTCTGAAATTTTAGCAAATTAAGAAACTTTTACGAAATTAATTTTGAAATTTTAATAATAATAAAATATTAATAGATTTAATTCACGCGTAATGAATACATAAATTTAATCCTGAGCATTTACTTGATAGCAAGTTTCTTATTTACTTAGGCTGCGATAAACACATATTGGCTTATTTTCATTTAATAGATCTGTTTTCAAAACGAATATTTCATATTTATATTTTTCAGTTGATCTAGGAAAGCCGAGCTAAAAATAGAATCATTTTAAAATTTTGTTAATTATTGAGACAAAAATATTTATTACGTATGATTAGTATTTGGCGTGAAACTAAACAAATAACAGAACAAATATTGGTTATAATATTTAATTAACATGCATACATAAGCAAATTTATGGGAAATACTTAAGATTAATTTGCATCTTCTTTAGCGTTTGGTGTTACGCTTTTAAATTCGCAATGAAATATGTGTAAGATCTGTAAAATTTATGTGAATACGCAAGGCAGAAAGAGATATGCCAGTATTCAATTCTTGGACCTGAAATTTAGATTTATCACATTAAAAATCTTGGAAGAAATATTAATGGTATGCATGTTTTTGACTATGTTAAGGCAATGTATTTGGCATAGCTTTGAGCTATGCCAAATACATTGCCTTAACATAATCACACATATGCAGAGCATTGTAAAACCACGTATAGCAATGAAAAAACTGCACTGGAATATTTACCGTAATGAATAAAATGAAAGAGAAGGAAATATTTAGAACTCAAATATGTGACCATTTTGTTGGCTATGAACTGATTTCAACCAAGTCAAACACTAAATTTAACAAAATGACTAAAGTCTTTAGATAGTTCATTTTTATTATAACGAGGCTAAAAGAATGAATGTGTGAAATATGTTTCTAAAACCAAATATAGTGTAACGAACACGCGAAAGTTTCGCAATATAGTTTCGTTTTAAGTTTTAGCTATTTCCTCAGAGTGTTCTGTTAATTATAGGTAAGTTCTAGAACGCATAAATTAATTCAGTAGTAAAACCTTCTAATAGCAGTTAAAATAAATTTAGGAGTCACCTTTCATTTTAGCTAAAAAGAGATCAAACATATTAATTGCATTGACTTGACTATTTAATCATAACCTCGAATCATGATTATTTAAAAGAGATTTGTAACTACTGAAATTTGTCTCTAGTTCTCCAGGTTGAAGTCTAATTTTGTAAAATTTCCTGATTTGAAGATATGCAGTTTTAGTGGCAAAAACTTAATTTTGACAATATTCAGTTTACATTTTTTCTAATAATTTTCTTACAGTACGAGACATTTTTAGTATCTACCTAATTGTACGGTTATAACTTCAGAATTATTGTACCACACACATTCTTATATAAATATAAGCGGAGAGTTCAAACAAACAGTTACATCGACACTGAAGAAAGACTGCATTCCATAAAAGTTGGCTTCGTAATTCTAATGTTATTATACAAAAGGATGATTACAACGAGATCAAGAGAGAAAATGGTTATACGATTAATTAGTTTTGTTCTAGCAGTGATTATGTTGTTAGAAGTATTATCTAAAATGATGAGAAAACTGTAAATACATTTGCACTGTTTGCACTATCTATGCAAGTTAACTTTGCACCATGAAAAGTATTTTTGTCTAATTTGATGCAGTTGCTTTGTAAATCAGCAAATGTCTAGAAGTTTCGCATTTCATATGTTAATGTTACTATTTGAATTACCAGAATATGGTATACCTTCTTAAGAGCATATTGTTTAATAGCAGTACGTTTGCCTGCTGTCACATTAAGATTTTTCGAAATCTTAACCAATTAACAGAGTTAGCCTAGCGGAAGTACAATTATTTGTATAGTTGTAAAAAGTATTTGTTAATATATTGATTGTTTAATGTTACATGTATAAGTTTAATGTTACAAGTTCTTAATACCAACGTGAGTAATGTGTTTCGTAGTGAACCATCCTGTTATATTGTAATTGTTATAAATCCAAGATAGCATTCTTCAATTTAAAGTTTTCCGTGAAAGCATTTCGTGAATATATCGATGTTTCTATTTTTTATGTTCGTAGATCGCAATTAATTATTATCTTCTTTTTTTGCTAATAATTGGAAATTCTCAACACATAGAAAAGTTGAAGTCAGTAATACAAACTTTATAAAAATTCTATTTTTAATAAAAACGGGATCAAAATGTGATTTTTATGTAGAATAAAGTCATATCATATATTGGTAAAATTTTGTGCTTTTTAAGCTATTTGTCTCTTGTAAAATGTTGTGAAAATAAAGTGATGCATCATATCTAGTAAGCACTGTTTTAATATTTTAATTATAAACACCACACAGCAAATTTATGTTAATTAAAAAAGGAGAAAAATGCAAGTAATCCTTTTGTGGCTCATGCATGAAGTGATTGAAAATTCAGCAAAATTTTAAAAACTTCTTGTTTCATTGAAATTGCAATGCATGATAACGTTATTAGCATAGAAATGCATGTGATTAAGCGTTTTATTTTATGAAACTTGATAATGTACATTTTTTATTTGCGCCTATGTCAACCAGATGCTGCTATACATTGGAATCCCCACTAAATGGAGATGATTTTGAATTATCATAGTAAAAAGTTAACATTCTTTCTGTGAAACAGCTATATTTTTAACCTGAAACAGACGAAAATTAGGTTCTGTGATACTCCTTCAAGATGGAGCATTACTCCATGTCCCTTCCATCTTACTCTCAAAACTTAGCTGAAATGTAGTATTGAGTCATACAATTATAATTAATGGTCAAAAAGATCTTCTGTACTAAAAATCGTGCGATTTTTTTATTTTGAAGCTTCCTGAAGTCATGAGTACATTGCGATCACGATGAACTTCAGGCCAATAAAAGAACACCCTATGCAATGTCACCAGACAATGAGTTTTATAAAAATGCCACTTTCGCAGTCCTTTGCAGCTCAGTAATGCTTTATTCAGATTTAGAAATTATTATAAGTCATTTTATGTTATATCAAGGATGAAGAACCATTTGGCGAATATATATGTAAGCAAATAATTTGCATAATAAAATCTGTTAAGAAAGACGCCAGCGTTTTTATGAAGTTCTTTGCTAATTACATTAATGTGCATTGAAAATTCGTTTAGAAATTAAAGTTAAAAAAGAAGGAAAATTATTAAAGTCAAATCAAACTTAAATTACGGGAAAAAAAGCAATTTTGTACATACACATTTTTTATGACTTAGTATTTTCTCATTTAGTAGATGAATGATGCTAAAATATTGCGGATAATGTCAGTTATGCATAAAAATCTATATTATTAATGCAATGACATTTTAAACGCTTGCCCTCTAGTAGATGCGAAAAGCGGTAAATAACGCGGTGGTCTTGCGGTGCAAAAATGATGAAGTCTTCGATAAGCAATAGAAGTACCAGAGACTGCAGATAAATATCAAGCCACCTATCTGGTTATTACTTAACGATTACGTCTTGCCAATATAACGATCTTTAGATGGGGCAGTTGGCCTCAGACGACCTTCATCTGCAAGACCACAAATTATTCTCATAATTAAAAACGTTTTGAGGTAACGCTTTATTAAATATTCAGCTCTCTGGAAATGTCCAACTTGATCTGCCAGTTATCATTTCTGTCTTTTATTTGAATACAGACGTAACTAACGACATCTGACTACTTTCAGACTTAAACATATGTGTGACGTCGAAGACGTTTCCATCTATGATTTACTCGCGATTACGTAATTTGCATATGTTATGTTCAAATACTTGTGAAGCAGAAGGTTTTTCTTGCTCATTTGCATATCATTATCATAAACTATTATAATTATCACTCAGAGGAATTTGGACTGGGCGTGCAGTTTTTTAAATTCATTTTCACATATATTACATTACAGAAGGGCACTGAATATTACTTGACTAAAGACTAGTGCATTATGATTTCTTTTCCTCTTGCATATGGTTCTAAATTTTTACTATAGAAACATGCATGGAAAATGTTCAATGAAATTTCTTCCTGCTGAGAAAAATGACACTAATATTTATCTTAAACTTCAGAATTATTCAACCCTTTTTCCCTTCCCCTTACCACCAAATACAGGCCATACAAATTTTAAATACAAAATCCTGCATTAGTCATCTACAAACTGGTAATGGTGTATTTAATTATGGCAAAGAACAACACTAGGGCTATCTGCCTAAGGGGAGGGATACCTTCGTGGAGGACTTTCTAAGGGAAACTGGCTCGTATACACGATACACATGGGAAAAACCACGAAACACCCATGCAGCCAGCCCGTTCGCACAAACTGGTAATATTTACTTAAATTACATCGTATATTCTAATAAATAAAGTACGTAAAATAAAAGTGGAGTTCATATAATTCAATAAAATTATTAAGTAAGCATTTATTGGTATGTCTCCTACTTATAAACTGAGTTACAAAATATTAAGCATTATGCCTGAACAGTTTTTCAGACGAAACTTTTTAGGGTTAACTTAGAATTTGTTAAAGCAACAGAACCACAGTCTCATTCATCAATACTTTTAATAAAAAGTTAATTAATATATGATGGCTTTAATAAATTCGAATTAAGATTTGCCAAAACAGCTTAAATTACTATAACAACATTTTATGCAATAAAATGTACAATTTATCTATCTGATAAAGTAAGAAATATTTTAAGTACACTAACTAATGAAAATTAACTTGAACCAAGGAGGTTACGTTTTACGTAAGTAAGTATTTGCAAAAATTTCGAATTGACGGAAGGGTTTATTTTTGAAGATAGCTTTAATGTCTTCTAATGGGTTTCAAAGTTAAAAGA